GTTCCAATTTTGAAAATACTTTCTTTATGTATCGGATGCTAGAAAATAATAAGATTTTATTTCACCTATTGCGCACAAGGACAGGTTGACTGACGTCAGAATCCGAAACACTATGAAATAAAAAGCTTTAGTAATACGGTCAACCCGTTTAATACATATTTGGACTCCAGGAGCAGTGAAGTGTAATGATATGTTGAAAACCACACATCGAAAATTTGGCCGGATTTCAATAGGCACTTTCTTTACCTCCTAGCGATAGGAAAGTAAACGTACATTTTAAAGGAATATTTAAAAAGATATTGATATAAAGTGATGCCCCATGTTTAAACCTGAACTGCATTACATCGTTTTTTTTTGTGTTTTTTTAAGTTTTTTTTTTAGTTTTAATGAAATTTACAACTGTATCACGTGAAAAATACAACATGTCAGTGTAAAATTGGTAACGAGGCATGTACAACATGAAGAGAAACTACCCATTTGTAGAACTCAAATTAAAGTTCTATATTAGAAGGCCCCGAGGCCATCTTATTTTGTTTGGATAGGATGGGGGACTTCAGCTGTGTAAAGGATAAGACCTATGATACTACCTTGAAGAACACCTGTAAACTCAGAAAAAAGGGATAAATAGGCATTCTTATGATTTACTTTGAAATATCTATCGCTAAGGAGGAACGGATAATGAGGAAGAATGTAGGTGGGAAGAATTTACGGAGTTTGTACTTCAGCCTCCGGTGCCAGACTCTATCAAACGCCTGTTCAACATCGAGAAAGTCTCTCGTGCAATACATTTCGTGTTCCAATGCAGAGGAGACTACGTCTACCACATGATGATATTGCTGAATTGTGGAGTTAGATGTACAGAATTCAAATTGGTGATCTGGAATTATGTGATTAGAATCTAGGATGGGATACAGGGTTTCATGCAAATTGTAATCAGATTAACTCATTTCTTTGGTAATTCTCGCTTGATAAAATTATTTTACAGTTACAGAGTAAGTTTACATTTTGTTCGGTATGTTAATAGTTAGATTTGAAATTGCTGATTTTATTAGCAGTTTTTATTATTTTATTTATAATTGATGGGTGGTGATCATGTGACGACGGCCCGTACGCAATTACTAATTGACAACAAGGAGACGAGATAGTTGTTTTATGTATGGCTGCTAGTGTAAGATTGAAAGGAAGTCCAACAGACCTACCATGTATTCGGTGGCCCCCTTCCAAAGCTAAATAATATAGGGGCCCCCCTGCCTAAATATTTCAGAGACCCTTACCTACGCCCCGTCTTTCGCTACCTGGAGCCCTTTGTATAACTTCCCTGCGTTTTCACTTTACCTTGTATTTCTGCTATATTCTATCTGTTGGTGTTTTAAACATCAGCCTGGAGCCGGTTCTTCGGTGATATTAATGTGTTAATTTTTTATTTTAGCAAAACTTTCAAGAGTCACAACTGAAAACTCAGAGTGGAAAACAATGCTATATTTTATCAGATAATGATTAGATAAAAAATATGATATTCTTGAAATTCAAAAATATAGAAAATTGATGTTATAAATAACCAAAAAATATTTTTCAGAATGAATTAAATATTTGTTGTGTTGCCTAAAAATATACATAAATAAATCATCAGTTTTATTTACAATCGACATAGATAGAACGTACTCGAATCGAACGAATGTTTGAAAAATGGAAAATGCCTGTAAAAATAGGAGACGGTGCAACCATTACCCAGGGAATTAAGTAGTAAATGGACAGTACAAAAGAAAACTCTTCAACAGCAGATTTTGGTAACATTTATTTATTTTTTCATATGGAGTGAAACAAATATAATGTGAATATTTGAACTCACAAGCGATTTCGACCCACATGGCTGTTATAAAGCTAAGACATAAAACCTGTAGGTTATCAACGGAGTTAATTTAGTGCTTATAGTTTTTATTTATATTTATATCTGATAGTTGTAAATAAAATAAAATATAAATGAAAAATAATTAAAAATTCGACCCATATTATGTTATGGTATGCTATAACATATGCAACATCGCTAGGATTCTTCTGTAAATAAATCATGCACCACAATTATTATCTTGTTATAATGCTCTTGATGAAATTTTATTCCTGCCATCTTTATAAAAACAGTAGAAGTGAGAGAATAATTAGAAAAATTGTTAATCATCGATTTTAAATATGATCCGTGTTTTTCCCTGATTGAAATATCACCAAAATACGAGTGTGTGCCCCTCTAATATTAATTTTAAGGTTCTTTTTTGCTTTGACTTTAAGGTTTCCTCATTGAATTTAGTGCAAGGATTATAGAAAACGACTGTTGGTGTTATGAGCATTAAATATCCTGAATCCATACTGAGCCCACTAAATCATGAATGAAAGGTCTTGGGTTCAGTATTTAGTAAGGCGGTACTGTTTTGTGGTCTACGGTTGTACAGGTAGGTGTCAGTTTTTCCCCGTTAATTTAATATTTAATTGAGGGTGCCCAAATTATAGACGCTGGGTGAGCCTCAGGAGGAACTTCCGATATATGGTCGGCGAAACAGAATAAATAATTTATATGCTATCAGCAAGACTCGAACTCAGGACTTTGATCATTGAAAGGTATGCACTCTACCATTGAGATACCACACTCCCTTTCATGTTTTACAAGGTCTTTTACTATAATAATTTTACTAAATCTTACCTAAATTAAATCTCATTTCACTGTTTACTTCTAATAAAAGAATTATTTTTGATTCTCATATCCCTCTACCTATTATTAACTCCGACGGTACCTTCTGTTCCGAACATAAGACTCCTAGAGGAAGGCCAGGAGTGGTTTACTGCTTTCTCCCGGATCTAAGTATTTTACGATATCCGATGAGACTTTGATCTGTGACTATCACTCCCTACCTCGGAGCCCTCGGTAATTCGGTTCGGGAGGGATGCGTCTTCATTGGTTCCTCCTGGGAGTTTCCGATCTCCTATCAATTGTGGCCCATCCCTCACGCCCTCTACTGCACTCCCCGCCCAGGTATCCTCTTTCTTCCTTTATATACATCTGAAATTGTAAACTGAAGCCTCTGCCTTTAGTATAAACAATATACATCTTTTATGATGCCTTGGAGAATTTTTTTCTTGTATACAATGAAGAAAATGATAATTCGGAGGATGATGGAAATAAAAAAAAATACAGTAATGTGTTTTCATTCATACCTACGTTTCGGGCCTTCACGAATTTCCTCTTCTACAAAATCAAGTCCGTCGATATAATTTAACAATTACAATTAAGAGAACCATATAGAGGAAAAAGAGAACTATAAACCACATAAATTGAGCTCAAATGAAGTTTAAAATTATCAAATTAATTAATTAATTTATATAAAATCGGAAAAATAAGGCAAATAAGTTATGTTTGATACAAGGAAGAAGGGAGATAATTAGAAATAGAATCTTAATTACATTTTAAAATAACTGCATTAAAAATATGCAGATCAGATTAACAACAAATGCACCATAGAAAATTTTAAAAATATATGTATAATTTTTATAAAACCGTATTTCAAATACATTATACATGATGACAGTAAATAAACGTATAAAAAAAAAGTCTACTCACACGACTTTCCTACCTATTTCAGAATGCCTTATATCTTTAAATATGTCCATTAAGAAATAAAAAAAAAAAACTGAATTAGATTTATTTTCCGGAAGATTGATCAAAGAAAAGATTTAATTTCTTTGGTAAACTAAGGAAGTGTAAACCGGCTTGTAGAAGATCAGCAAAAGCATTCTAATATTTGCTAATACACTTTATCCCATAGCCCAATTCCGTCAGACAATAATTTCTGTTTAAATAGAAGGAACCGTGGAACTTGTGTATTGGGGGCACCAGATTTTTTAATTTCACTTACTTTTCCTTTTTCTCTACTTTTCTGAGAAATTTCACCACCGTAAAAAACCAAATAGTCTAAAAAAATTTTTTTCGGACTAAAGAGGCTGTGAAACGTATAGATCCGTCGAAAACCACACATCTGAAATTTAACTCGATCTCAATACTTTCCTTACACAGTATAGGTTTTAAAATTATGTAGGTAATTTAATGAATTACCTTTTAAAACTTTTCATAGACATTTTAACATGGAATATATACTTGGCGAGTTAAACCCCAAACATCTTTCTTTTCTTTAAAACTTATTTTCCTGAATTTTCTCGAGAATTTAATTCATGTACGAAAATTGAAATCACTTTAATTAGAAAATTATTGGAAAATTTTATCAAAATCGTTAAAGCCGATTTTGAGCTATGTCTATAGATAAATATGTTTTTCACTTATTGGGCATCCTCTATTGCACCCAATTTGTGTCAAATACATCAGTAGTCAAAAACGGAAAATAAGAAACAAAATCGGTCTACTAGTTCCCTAGATAATCTTGGTACAGACAGACAGAAAGACCGATGGCTGAAAATGTGTTTTTCGGCTCAGGGAGCTGTGAAATATATAGATCTGTCGAAAACCGTACATCGGAAATTTCACCGGATCGCAATACTTTCCTTACCTAGTATAGGTAGGAAAGTAAAAAGCACGTAAAATTTTAAAAATACGTTCCTCATAACACTCTGACCTCTCTTGAAAATATCTTATTCTCCATATAATTTAGTCCCTCACAGTACGCCACACGTCGAAGAGCTTCGTAATTTCCTGAACTGATACTTGTACGAGTTTCTAATATTTCATTAGTACTTTATTCTCAGTTAGCGACTTTTAAGTTTTGAAAAATTCTTTATAAAAATAAAAAACTATAGAATATTTAATTTTGCTCAATACTACACAATTCTAAGACTCTAAGAAATAATTCTAAGAGTCAGCGGGTAAAATTTTAGGGCTAGCAAAAAAAAAAAAAAAATAAATAAAAAATGTAAGAACAAAAATAAAGTTTATACATCATATATATGCTAACAAAGTTTATAAATACGTTCTGATATTATCTCCATTTCTGTTTTTTCCACAGCGCAATGTATAGCACCGATGGGAATGGAATCGGGCATGATCCCAGACGAAGATATTTCAGCTAGCTCTTCCTTTGACAGTGGAAACGTAGGCCCTCAACATGGAAGGTGAGTTTATAATTTTATATCATACATAGCTATTATTATTTTACTATATACTTCATTATTCTAATGCTTGTTTATTGTTTATAATTATTATTCATTTGAATCCTTAAGTGAGTTTTTTAATTATAGGTATTTTTTCGTATTTCTTTTAATGAATGTTATAAATCAACATATTTATTGATAATATCCCTAACCTATAATTATTATTGAATAATGACTGACATGAGGCCGGATTAGGTAGTCGGGCTATTAAAATGTGCCTTATCCTTCACTAATGACCGGGCGGGCACATCATCACCGTTGCCGGTCTAGGAACACCCACGACGTCATGCCTTATGCTTGATTAAACCTCTGTAATTCCATGAATTCAATTTTGTGAATAATTAAGAGATGGAGAAGCTATTTCTTTAATACATATAATATAATTTTTAAAAAATATATAATTTCTTCCATCTGGCTGTAATGTAATTTAAAAAAAATATTTTATTAAAAAAATTGTTTAATTTATTATGCCAATCCATTCCACTGATGTCAGAGTTATTGACCTAACAATTCTTCTATAGGGAACTGATTCTTATTTAACTGCTATTTATTGCTTAAGAATTTGATTATAAGTAAACTATTGGGTTAAACGGACTTTACGATAAATGATTGGATGACTATAAGTAAAATATGGTTGCTATATTTTATATGTATTATAATGTGAGTTATTGAGACCCACAGTTATTACAAAATTAGTTAGTACCTTAATAAATTTCGATCTACATTTTATAACCTATTGTAGGTGGATGGTGGTTGAAAATGAATTGCTAGAGTGCTTGTTGCATTCTGATAATCCTCCTTTTCGCTCTTTTTGGTCACTATATCATCTACTCCATTTTTCTTCTTATGAAAATTGGTACAGATGTAAATTGTCCTGCTGGTCAGCTATGTATTCTCTTAAATTGACATGAATCCATGCATGTCTAAACTCTGTTGGCTGCATTGCTGCGTGCTAATTTAATTTAAATTAAATTAAGTAGGAACTTAGCTGTGTTCTCTTAACAAAATTACTTTATCGGGCTTCGGGATTCATTGAACTTTATTATCAGAATAGAATAGAAAAAAAAAACTTTTACTATAATATCTCTTTTGAATAAAAATAATGGTGATTCTGGCCATGAGAGCCATTATTGTGAACAAAATACACTAAAAAAAATAAATTATTGAAATTAAGAAAAACAATTAAATATATGTTCGTATTCATACAAACGTGTAGAATGAAAAAAAAAGGATATTTGTTTAAAATCAGGCATGGGCAAAACATATTTTAAAATATCAAGGTTTTCAGAAAATGTATTCAAAAATTGTATTTTAATTACAAAAACTAAGTACAAATATTAAATACTTTTTGGTGGACGATCAGCATATAATACAGGAATTTTTTTTATTTGGTAATTTATTTTGACTATTTTAAATACAAAATAAAATCCATTTTTTGAATTTTATTATCTTGAAAATAAAATAAAAATATATTGTGTGTATTTTAAAAATAAAATTCAGGTAAAAACAGTATATTGTATATTTTACTAATTAAAATATAAACTACAAAGAATGCATGTTATTTGGTATTTTGCAAGTTATATTTTAGCTTCTGGATAGAAATAAAAATATGTGAGATCATTTACTTTAAAAAAAAAAACTAACATATTAGTATTGCCTAGTTATACCGAATAAAATAAAAACTCATAAAAAGTTGGAACTTCCATGTTAATTTTATATCTAACTTGGCTGGAGCGAATCAGAGACCAAAGGGTTGGAAGATAAAAACTTTAATGTTCTTGTAGTCGCATAGTTTTTTTTTTATTTTATTCTTTTTATTTCTTGCTCTAACGTAAATGAAGAGACAAAGAGGAGGTGCAATAAACACAAGCCTCTCGTAAATCCGAGAGATTATTGTTTGCGAGGGAATAAAGTGAACTAACTACCGCCCGGGATCAGCCTCAATTGATTCTTGCTCAGGGAAATGGAAAAGTTTTTATTCCCATAATAAACTAAGTTAGTTTATCAGCTTGAGGACTATCCATTACTGGATAGCTCACATGTTTATGTCCTCCTTCCCCCCATCGCGAGGGAAATATTAAACCCCCCGTGTTTCCTTTAGGGCTTTATGGGGATGGCTTTTCTTCCACTAATCCTTATGCGCTCAGTTCTTTTTTTTTCTATTCATTACCTTCATATATTCTGTAAAGATAAGATTTAATAATAATTATTCGACATATGAGTATATTACATAAGACTTGCTGTTAGGTCTTCAAAACTTAATGGGCCACCGTCATTCAATCACCAAAGTCAGAACGATTAATCCATTGAATAGAAAGACTTCGATCTGCCTTAAAATTATATGAGAGTAGGTGACCTGGATAAAGGAGACTCTTAAGTCTAAGGCATAGTACTTGAACGTACCGTCAAAAAGGAATACTTTTATTAAACTCAATCTAAAAGGACTCCTTTCAGCCAATTTGATTTCAGAGACATTTCTATAAAACAATAATTTTATTGTAACTTGAAATAGTCCCGCTACCTTCATTACTTACTCGATGTTCAATCGATACTTTTACTCGTTTTACATTCCAAATTGGCTGAAAGGAGTCCTTTTCATTGAGTTACATAAAAGTATTCCTTTTTGACTGAACGTTCAAGTTGACTTAAGGGACGACTATGCAGAATACCCGTAGTGTCTTTAGCTCCTTTTAATACTTTGCTGTGGGCTCTAAAGCGTCATCTGAAAAATTAAGATCAAGTTGAGATCTGAAAGTCCGAATGGACTAACTCTTTGTACTTCAACCAAAACAAGGTAAAAGATTGAAGACATTCTCTTCCTATGTTGTTTCACTTCAAAGTACGGAGTTTGCATCACTAGTAAACAATATCCTGTTAGACCATCGAGTGTAGATCTTCCCCCTTCTCGGAATAAAGGAACACGCTATTACCGACCACCTGGGGAGGGGGGGGGGAGAGGGAGGAAGCGGGGAAGATTTAATGAGAGACTGACCAGGTCGTGACGCGAGCTCTATCCTAGGCCGTCATAGCTCACGCGACGGTCTGCTCTGTATCATTACCTCTCGGCATCGGCGGCCATGCAACGCTCTGCTTTTTTGTTCCTCAAGAATGATCAACGATAGGTTTGTCCAATATCTAGTATTCCAGTTCTCGTTCGCTGAGGGGATGCACTTTACGATATATCGAAGGAGGCCTTAGAACATTAAAAAATTATCGAAACTAGTAATCCGTGGTACAGACCCCTTTTTATTAACATCCGCCTGAAACTTTTTAAATAGTAGAAATTTTATCTCATCTTATCCTACAAATATTTTATTTACGAATATTCTCGGTATTGGTCTCAAAGAACATTTTTTTTTCTCTTTTTCTTGTCTCTACCCTAGAGGGGTCATTGGCGTTTTCTATAATTTGTATCTATAAAAAAAGGACATTTATAATAGTGTTCAGAGATCACATTCACACTCTATGCACAATAAATTAAAGTAAATTAAATAGAAAAATAATATATATGCATATATACAATAAATAAGAATAAAATAATTAAAAAATAAAAACAAAAGAATACATACATACCTAAATACACTACTAACAATCTAGCGAGGAAACTCCGAGCCAGCCTTATCCTTCAAATGTGGAGAAAAATCATGACTCCAGGAGATCACTGCGCTACTCTTTCAACCGTGTCACTGGGGCTAAACCCAGTGGAGATTGAGCGAGAGCGCTTTAGCCACCTATACTCATGCCAGAACTCCAATATATGCAAACTACAAAAGACCGCGGGGCCAGTGCCGTTTTAACCTTCTTCCTTATCGTGCTGGATAAGGATTGTACAAGGGGATTCGGATGATATGTAAGGTTCTGGTGAAATTTGGACAATTTTTCTGGGATTAGGTCTAGGACAAATGGGGTATTAAGGTCATGATGTAGGGTTTTGTTGGTTACGTAGAAAGGAGCATGGACTACTGTTCGAAGAACTTTGGACTGGACAGATTGGATGCGTTTGATGTTAGGAAATTTGGCTGTCCCCCTCAGTTCAAGTCCAAATAGGTTTCAGTATTGTCTTGTAGATCATTATTTTGTTTTTAATTAAAAGTTCAGATTTTCTATTTAGTATTCAGTATAGTTGGCCGTACCGTCAGTTACGTTCTTGTCTTTTAAGTCTGTTAAGCGTGCATTGTAATATAAAAATAACATATGATTGGACGTTAAACGGATAAATGATTTTTACGTTGTTTTTTACAATTTATTTTGGAATATATTTTTCTTAAGATCATAGGTTGAGCAACTTGTCAATTATTTGAAGTGCCATAAACCGTCAAAGAGACTTAATTATTTTGCTGAAATCGGTTCTCTTGATTTAAGACAAAATCATAATCTTCTTTGAATTTTATAACTCTTTGTACTTCGACCTTAAACTGGGTTCCTTTGTATACATTTTCATAAACAGGTTTCTCTGATCTGGAAATTTATAAGTTTTTGTCCTTTTGTGTGAATAAGACGTTTATATTTTTCCAATTTTAATTAACTTATTAATTTACTATAAGTAAACAGAAAATAAAGTACATATTTAGTATGTTTTTTTTTTTCAATAACATCATTTCTTTTGGATTCACTAGTTACATTTATTTAATAAATATGCATAATACTTATAGCAATACATAGTTATGAAAACCATTTTAAATAAATGATCCTTTTTAAATTATTCAAGTTTTCCAATAGCGCAAAAATAAATCACCTATATTCTGTTCAATATATCTCGGACTCTATGAAACTGATTGAATTTTCCTTGGAGGGGTATTCGTTATTTGACTTTTTTCTTTCGTTAGGACCTTCCTAGACTCGATAGAATTCTGTAAATTAAGAAAAAAGAAAATCATCATGTTTGAAACGAATAGTTGTAATAAAATATTTTATTTGGTATACTACTCATACTCCATTTTATTTTTATTTATTTGGCTATTTAAATTTTATTTTAGGTGGAATATCGAATTGCTTTTTGTAAGATGTTATAATTATTTCTGATGTTTTATTAATATAAATGAAAATTAAATTAATTATTAATATGAAGTTAAAATTAATACTGATTGGACATTGCCAAGTATAAATAATCATTCAATTAAAAAAACAAACAAATGTATGAAATAATGCTTATATTTCTTATTCATTAATTTTATAGGAAATCAATTATGTCAAAAAATTTCATTGCAATTCATTTCCATAACTAACCATTTTAATAGTTAAAAAATAACGTAGTAGTATCACATTTATCCGTTACAAAGTAATGATATTCATACTCAGAAGTGCAATAACTGTTTATGAGCTGGGATATATTATATTATCCTGATATCATCGTATTGTTAAAAATATATTGCAGTTAATTTATATATTTTCATCATTATTATTAGTTTGTCATTGAAATTTTATTCAAAGAATTAATCAAGGTTATTTTTTATGCTTGGCAAAATTAATTATGTTAATCTAAATGTCTTAATTTCCGAATAAAATAATTGGATTAAAAAAAAAAATTCAAATAATCGGTTCTGTAGATGTTAAACATTTTAAGCTAAGAAGGCATATGTATTAGTCATGGCGAAAGAAATGGAATTTTAGAGTTACTACGTATGACCATCGATTTGAAAGGTTAAAAACCATGACGTAATGGGTACTGTTACGATATTTGTTGATTTCATCATTTTACATTTTATTTTATTTTTCAATTATTTTCATAAATTCTGAGAAGAGATCAAATCAATAAAAAATACTAACCAACATTTTGTTATGAGATATTTTTTATATTTGACGCGGCATGCTGTGGATAGTATAGTACACAGGTAGGGAAATAAGTCCTCCGTTTCTTTTTGTGCGATATTCATCGGTCTAGCTCTAGAATTAATTAATATTTAATTATTTAAGCTGTATGTTAATAAGGAGGTGTATTTACTTATAAATAAAAATAGCGACTGTAATATGTAAAAAATTATTCCGGCCCTCATTATCACTGAGTAACCTTACTGCGATCTCTAATGATAAAAAGATTTCTCATATATGATATAATATGCGAAAAATTTGGATGGATGAAAGAATTTTACACTTGGACAATCATTTTTTTTTTATATATATATATATTATTATAATTTTAATTATTTTGCTTCGCCTATAGAATTATGATTTGCAGTTTCATCTTTGTTCCACCAAATGAGTAATATAATTTTAAATATTTAATTTTTTTGTACATATTTAGCTCAGAATGAATTTTAGATGACGTTTTATTTTTAAAATTTTTATTAAACTTTAATTTACACTTTTTGTTATGTAGTAATTCTGTTTTTGTTGCTTATATATTTTAGCTTTGTTTTATTTATTTATTTTTTTTACTTTGTTCTTAATTATTTATGTCTCTTTGTCCTTGGCTGTAGTGGATTTTATTATTATTCTTATAATAATTTATATAAATTATAATTGTGATTATAAAAAAAAACTTCATGTCTATCCTCCTAGTTCACGAAAAAATCACCAATTCTAAAATTATGGCTAAGATTATTACGATGCGTTTGAGTATGATATTTCTTTAATTTTAGTTTTTTAAACAAAATCGTTGTTGCATTATAACAAGGTTTAGGTACTTTAGATTTTTCCCCTAAAAAAGCCCATACTCCCTAGGAAATTATGCGATGTTATTTATCGTCACGTGCTTCCGCATGACAATATAGATGGGAAGATAACATCGGTGAGATGCACATGCAGCCGCTATCAGATACTGGCCATGATTGGGTTCGTCCATCCTCCCAACGCCCCGCTCCCGTTTATTATTGAATTTATTCATGAGGCCATTTAAATATGTGATTGTGAGGAGGGTCTACGGGGGAGAGGGCTCATCAGGAGCTGTTTGCCTTCAGCCAATCAGCCAAGTCCTTCCTAATCAGCTGGTCAAATCCCTCCTTTAGTGGCATCGTTTGCGCCTCTCCTCCAAACAATCAGGGAGTATCATAACTAGTCGTAACATCGGCTTTGATATTCCTGCTTTAGTTGGACTTTGTAATGCCGCTAGTAGTTCTTGTTTTTGAATGGGCTTCCACCAAGCTGGTTAAGGAAACAGAAGGCGATTCCTCTACCTCCATTCACAATTAAGTTATTAATTATGTTGTTGGTTTATCTATTATATTTTTTATATCAATTCCAACAAATCACTTTTAGCTTTCGTTTTAAACCTACGATTTTCGAAACTACTGTAACCTTTAATAATACGGAACTTATCTCTGTAGGACAAATCTAATACCCAGGACTCCCGATCAGACGAATCCTCATACAAAATTGAGATGAAAAGACGTTTCTAAACATCCAGTCAACTACAAAAGAGTCATTTACTTGATGATTATAAATCCTATTTATACTTATGGCGTTGGAGACTCCAATAAACCATCTTCTCTCCTATCCAATCCTTGCAATCCAGAAGCCTTCGCAAAATCCTCAATGCTCCGTACGTTGTAACAAATTAAAATCCGTAATGATCATAATGTTTCATATATTGCCGATTTAGCCCAGATATCTATCCTTCCGTAATAAACTTCAGGCCTATCAAAATTCATTAATTTTCAACCTTTCAACCTCTTAGATTGCTGACAACCTTCTTAATTGTCTGGAAAGATGATGGCCTCAGAACTATAATTGGAGTATTACCAATCGGTAGTATATACAAAGTATTGTATATGTAATATTACTAATTCACATTTACTTGTGTTTTTAGTAATATAGTAAAATCAGAATTATGGGTACGAAACTGTCGGATGAAATGGAGCGAGGCATGCAGAAAGATTTTTCATAACGATCTACCTACATAAAATTCGCATGTCCATTTGATTAATGTTAATTTTTCTTTTGTATGATTCACTAGTTTTTTAGAATTTGTAGAATTTACGTCATCTAAAACGATCTATTGAACCGTTTTCATAGTTTATGCGAATGATTCGATGGCTCGTTTTAGATAACACATAAACCCCATGGATCTAAAGCATGAGATCTTCACAGTTTTTTTTTTTTTTTTCTTTGAGAACGGAACAGAACGGTAGTTGACATTACTCCAACGAAGGAATTATTTTAGACTCCATGAGTATTGTTAATAGGAGTATAAGCATAGTTAAAAAAATGTTATAAAGAAAAGAAAAATGTTTTGGTGCCTAACTCGCTAAGTATATATTCTATATCGCTAAGTATATATACGTATCTGTACGTTTCAGAGCCCCCTGAGTCCGTTTAGCTAGTTTGTTTTTCTATAGACCTATACTATACTAGGTAAAGAAAGTATTGCGATCGGCTCAAATTTTAGAGAGGTAAGGAAATTCCTCACAAACCTATATAAAAATCGTTCATGTTTAAATATTAACCAAGTTACAAGTATTCAATTTGCAATGTAAAATTACAGGTACATATCCTGGTGTTCGAAAGAAATGAATGAAAGAAAAATGATAACTAAGTGAAAGTAAGAAAATTCCCTTATTTAGAAATTTTATTATTATTGTATAGAAATACGTCGAATGCACTAGGGAAAAAGCCGTTATTCATTTCTAACTGATAACCAGGATAACTACTGAACCAGAAGTTAACAACTTCTTAGAAATATATGCATCCATTAGAGGATTACTGTAATGTGGGAAAAAAAACATACATCATAAATTTTATTTCAAGGGTAATGAATGGCTCTATTACATTTATGGTTTGTAACATTATGTTATGTTTTGATTATTATTTGGATAAAGGCATTTTGTTTGCAATTGTTGTGTGCAATTTCGTCAAAGGGACAGCATACAGAAGAGGTTTTCCATATGAAGAACAAAGAAATATTTTTATCTTGGCTGGAAAAGTAAAAATTCAAAACCTATAACCTGAACCAGGACTATGACTGAAGAGCTCCGTCACGAGAGAAGACAGACAAGAGACTCAAGTAGGCCCTCAAACCGCCGTAAAAAGACAAGACGTAGCCCGCCCATGGGAAATGCAGCGTGGTGTCACTGCCGAGTCTCCTCATCTTCATAAATTGTTGGTGGTAGGGTGGAAGGGGAAAGGAATTTACCGCAGGATCGGCGTTCTCTGATACCGTGTCTCTTTTATGTCAGTGTACAGAGGCGGTAAAATTCCGCTACCCTTCATAGCCCAGAGGCGTATAAGCTGCCTCTTTCGCCTCTCTGCCGCCTCTTCTCTCCGATATTCACTATGTTATGCAAGGGTGGAGTGTCTTTATATTAAGAATAGTGACAACAATACGAAAGTTTATATAAGTTGTGTATAGGGAGCGTAAAGAGCGATGAATAAATTTTCTAAGTTTTATAAAGGTTTTACTTTACATCCAACCTTCAAACACGAGAGTGTATTTGTAGCCAAGAAAATTGAATATTAATTATAGATAAAATTAAATAAACTCTACAAGTTTTTGCATTATTTTCAATTTTTTTAAAAATTATTTATTGAATAATAAAGAAATATACCATACCCAACGGCAATAAGTATTAGAGCTAAAGATATCCATTCATACAATATATACATACAAGAAAAATAAATTAAAGTAATTAAGAACAAATTAAAGAGAAAAAATAAAATAAAGTAATAATGAGTAAACAAAATATAAAATAATAACACGTAGCTAAAATGAAAGTATAATGACAAAAGTTAAAAAAACATGACTTCACAAATAAAAGGATATATATGAATTGATAATGGTTACAAAATCTGAAAATAAAAAAGAAATTAGAGTTAAATACAAAATAAATAAAAAATAAATAAACTTCATCTAAAACTTATTCACACCCATATACAATCGTAAAGTTTTATACTGAATATTCAAACAGATAACCAAAAATGGGAGTTAAAATCTTTATTGGGCAGGAGGAGTGTGCTATACTTTGGCTATCAGGAGGATGAGGTGCAGTATAAGCTACGATTTTTGTTTCACTTAAATAACAAAGAAATAATTCTGAGATAGCCAATAATTAAAACTATGAATTAATTATGTATATATATATTTAGCTCGCGTCTGTTTTCCCGAAACTTAAAAACTAGAATCTGTAAAACCATTATTTTAACAAAACTATTTATGGTTGCGAAACGTGGCCGCGAAGGATAAGTTAACCGCAGATTTCAGAAGGTTATACAATGCCAAATTGCGTGAACTGTATCCAGTTGATAAATTGAGGTGATTACACCGCGGCGAATCAAATGGGCTTGTACAATTGTTGGACTTAGTAAAGAAAGAATTCATAAACGGTTAATATTTGCTGTACTGAATGGTAAACCAGGAATAGACCGAAGCGAAGGTGGGAATATTTCGTTAAAGCCGATCTGAAGGGACTAGATTTGGACTACGAATAGTGGAGGAAGGTGTGTAATAAGCGATTAGCGGTGTCGACATCGAACCATTGGGTTCGCTAAGCTTTTTATTATTATTATATATTTAGTCCAATTATTCAGAAAAGGAGGTTTCCCATCCAGCTTTTGTCTCCTACGGGGCACGTCAGTCTTCACCATGTATATTATTTTTTATGATTTCTCTTTTTAAGAAGATTGGTCACCAATGGTATAGTGTTGTATTTCCTTTTGCTGTATCACTGATGTATTTAAAAAAAATGTTATTTTATATTAATCTTATCAATATTACATATATTTTAGAATTTAGGTGATGGTACTAATTTCTAAAGTAGTGTGGGATTGGGTAAGAAGAAATCTTTTTGGAGTCTCAATTTGTCAAATGCCGGGTTGACATTCAAATGTGTTGTTAAATATAAAACGCAAATTGATAATTATTAATTTTTCGAAAATTTTTGAAGTAGACTGATAGGTATCTACGATGAGAGGTCGTTTATTCTTTTTATGTAACATTTTGGTATGAGTATATTTTCATTGCAATGTAATGTAAAGGCAAAATTTAAAATTTAATGTAAGATATATAACAAACGAATCACCTGAGCTGACCTGAACAATGTAAAGGGTAGCCATCTTTGATTTCGAGCAAAACCGAGATAGTATGATTGTGTTACATCCAATCTTTATTTCGATTTTTAATGGAGATAGGTATGTGATTTTTCTCTGATTTAAATCCGTTTCTATTTATTTGTTCAATAAAGCACGTAATTATGAATTCATAATGTATTAAAATAAATTAAATGGAATTTGTTTCCGTTTTATAAATATATAAAATAAATCCCGTATATATTTCTGGTTGTGTTTGATGAGTGAGAGAGAAGGAGATATCAAAGCCGAGAGAGGAACTTCATACCGTGAATACGAATTTTTACCATAAAAAATATTCAGGTCTTCAATTTGCAAACTCGATTAATACAAACCTCTGACTCATCCATACAGCTTTGAACCAATTTCGACGATAGGCTACAACATATCTAAATCCAGTTCTGATTGGCTGTGAACTGAAAAACCTAAACGATACGACCCAGAGACCAGTCCACACTAATCTGGCGAGTAATCCTGCCAGTTGTGGTCCTGACGTCACGTCCCCTGTTAATAACACTTTTTCGTACTTCTGTTTCCCGATTCGCTTTCAATTTCCATCCGGCTTAGCTATTGTTGATTTCCGATGTGGGCATTTTCGTATTTCCATACAAAGCGGATCCGCTGGCCTTGATGTCGCTGATTGCAATGTATACAATTATTTCAACTTTATTAGTTAAAAAAATATACATATTGCCTTTTAATTTTCCTTCAAAGATGCTGCAATAACCTCAGTATTTCATTTATTCATCAAATATTTTTTCTTTAAAAAGTAGAATCAAATATATTCATATTATTTCTTAAACATATCTATGGGAAAAATTATAAAACTAATTTCATTAACGTTTATGAAAGCCGATATAGAACTGGTACTTGAAATAAAGAAGGATAAGATGAAGTTAGAAGAAACCGAGATTTCGGTGATGCACAGGCTGATCTATGGGGGGGAGGGTTGGTCTTTTGTGCTGAATCCCCTTCTCCCAAAATGGTAAAATATAACCATGTTTGATAGAAAAAAAATAAGAAAAACAATCTCTTTGAGTACTATTGTTAAACTATCTCTTAAAGTATAATTGTGTAATTACATTTAACAGGACTTCAAGAATCATTCAAACACTATGTTATATAGGTAATTAGTTTCTTTCTTTTTCTCAAATTAATTATCGTTATATATATTAATACAAAAGCTTTCGGGCTGAAGCCCCCCTTCCAAAATTAAATCCTGGATTCGCTAGTGGGGTAATATATACATAGAAGGGAATATTATTTGAATACAGAGATATAAAGTTATTTCGAGATCTATAGCAACTAGAAAAAACAAAGTTGAAGAAGAAATTAAGGCTAGGTTAGGGATGGGAAATACATGATAATTTTTTATTGCAGAATTATTTAGTTTGCGCCTTCTGTCGTGAAACATAAAAATTATATTTTACAAAACTATTGTACTGTTTTTGACTGTTACGAAACCTTGCCGAGTACCTTTAGATATTTTTCTAAACAAAATATTGAAGGAATGAATGGAAGTAAACTTTATTCTTACTTGCTTGTGCATCTTAGAAGATATAATTATATAGACATTTTTATTTATTATATTATATTATAATTTTATTAATTGGTTTGTCCTTCGCCGTTACGCTAAAGGATCATTGTCGTCAGAATGTTTATTTCTCCGTACAGTTTTTTATATAGACGGATTATTTAAAAAAAAAAATTTTTCGACGTTGTTTTTGCTGTCTTCTAAGAGCTCTTTAAGGTTTCCTGATAATTCCGTAGAAGTGTGGTATTTATATTTTGTATTTATTACTTATACATATGTACTTTTATTTATTATTATACTATATTATATTACTACATTGTATAAAACATTTTGACTAAAGAATGACGAGTCAATGGGAGAACTTACACGATTACACAAGACCTAATTGAACTGTACCTAATAAATCTAATTAAGGCAATGATCATACAATATTTTGACAACAACATGCCTGAAGGTTACAGTTTACATATTTCTGCAGATGTATCTTGCCGTATCTTAACACTCTCGTGTAGGCATTAATAGTTCTTCTCGTGACAAAGAAGCGAAATTTGTGGTAATTTTCTTTTAATGAAGAAAATCTAGATGAAATATCATCACTTAGAATTCAAGACTCGATTGATTTAAACATTTCGTTCGATTACTCACATAATTCAGTACTATGGCTATATCGGGCAAGAATACAAAAATAGTATTAAAAGAATTTGCAGAATTTTATTTAATCAAAGAATGGGGTTATCAAAATAATGCAATCGGTAAAGAGCTAAGAATTCTGAGATATAGAAATATTTTTCTTTAATTCTTGTTTTTTTTCTTTCTTTTTTTTTTGCTTAATGTCAAATATTTAGGGACGGAATAATATATATTTTAAATATTAAATTCTCCATCTACAAAACGGATGCCCCTCAGCATATGAAAATCCAGGAGAGAGGAGGAAAAGAGTAAAAAAAAAAACGCTTGGAATCTGGATCCTATTCTGTGAGACAGCAAAGGAGGCCTTTTAAATGATGGAAAGGATTGGAACGGTTCGATAGGCCATACAATTTGTAGTTGAGTCACGGTTCCAAGGCTCGTAGGAACTTTTCATAAGGTCCTTCTTGGCTATGCCCTCTTCGGCATATTCATTATTCAGGATTTTCATGGAAATATCCGCGATAAAGGACTAGGAGGAGAGCATTCCGATCGAAGAAAACCGGGGAAACCTAACCGAGAAAATCAGTTAATCTGAGGAAGTCGAGGGTGAATAAAGTTGTTGAGCTACCCCTTGCCCACGTTGTACCCTTTCTAATGCTAGAAAATCTTTCACGTATAGTATTTTATTTTTAGTAATTACAAAAGATTTTTCTTTCCTAGTACCACGGAAATAAAATATACTATAATAAATATACTAGAATCTTTAACAATGTTTGCCTTAAAAGAGAAATAAAAAATGTAAAGTATAAAATAAAAAACAAATAAATAATCATTGGCAACCAATTAGTAGGCATAGGTGATCCAATCGATGAACAATGGAACGTGATGATTCCATGGATGTTTGCTACTGATGAGTTTAAGAACAGTCTGATGGATATCCGTTGACATCGATGACCTTAGAGCTGAGTTTATTAACTTACCTCTAGTATAGCCGATCTCGTTTATATAATATAATTTTTTTTTTGTAATTGAGGGATTTTTTTTTAATTTGTATCAAAAATAACAATACAAATGAACAAATAAATACATAAAACAATAAAAATGATAAGTATTGATACAGAAACTATAATCATATAAGTAAAATAACACATGTTCAAAAATAAAATGATATACATATAAATAAATAATGATAATAAAATTATTAGATAGCATTATGTACATTAATGTTTAATTTAAAAAAAGTCATTAAAATTATACCTATTATACCTTATATATAAATTGGCGCCCAAATTGAAACATTTTCAAATGCAGTGAAATTATATTTTCATGGAAACCTAATATACTAATAAAAAATATACATTTTAACTTGTGATGTTTCGGGCAAAGTATAGGCTAAGAAATTAATTATTTAATTTATAATTTATTATCTTGTATTTTTTATATTATAAAAATGTCAAATAATAACATATAAAAATTCAAAAGGAGATATCTCGATCTCCATTGGGTTGTATCTCTTGTAGACTTTTCGATAGTATCAAATTTTCTACAAAACGTGTTTTGCAGATTTACTTTATAAATTTAATGATTGAACTAAAGGATTTAAATTACTGTGATTTTATGTCCTCCTCGATTTTTCTTTTTAAAAATATATAATTTTAGCCAGTAACCAATTACTTGTCAACGAAATCATTAAAATTTCTTTAGTTATAACATGTTACAATGATAATCCTCGAAACTCCTCGGGGTTATTTACGACTCGGTCGGAGTCTACTGAGGCCCACAGACGTCGGAAAAATGATACCTTCTCCGGGAAAGCCCAGGTTTACTGCTCCTCGTAAATAGAGGCCGAAGAGGAGTCGTAACGACCTGGGGTGGGATAATGAAAACTAAAGGTGGGGTCCCGGGCCCTTGGGTACATTTACAGGAGAGAGATGGGGCCCCGAATCGATAGTCCGAGTCCTATCGATTCTACTAAGGAAAAAGAGACAATATAGTCTTGGAGGATAAATAAAGAGGTGGCTGGCTCCCTCTTTAAAAGGACTGCTCCAATTTATTAGTCTGCCCAGTCTGTTAGGAAGAGGGGGAGGTCTTCCATCTGTCTCAGGCTGTTCTGTATCTGGGTGATTTGCGCAATTGCGAATTTTTACCGGAATATCAGAAACTTAATCATTTCATTGCCTTAACATAACACAACTATAAAAAAGTTTAGCCTCTTCCCATAATTTTTAAAAATATAAATATATTATAATATTAAAAATATAACAGTTACATCCTAAAATCAGGAAAGGAGATCTCTCATCCAGCTTTTCAGTCGCCTCCTGATGAGCATTTCAGCCGTGACCATGTCGCTGATGTCCGTGTAGTTTTTAAGATGAATTCGGGAGTAGAGTGTACTGTGTGCTGGTTAATGGTTGGTTTTGTTAGGTCGGTATGTAATGTCTTGTTGTTGAAATACCAGGGGGCTGCAGTTATTATTCTTAAAATTTTAGATTGAAAAGATTGTAGTTTTTGTAAGAGTCTTTTTAGCTTTTTAGCCGTAAATCTGTGAGGCATACGTCCAAATGGGTTTGAGCAGGTAAGTGTATGTATTCCGTTTTTGCCTAATTTTCAATTTTGATTTAGAAATAAAGTGAGTATAGTATTTTCAGTCGTTTGTTCTAAGTCTTTCTTTTCATTTTGACGTGTGAGCCTATTATTTAATCTGAAATTATATGGTGGCTACAACATTTTTTATTCAGATAATTTTCTTTTAGTCTTGGTATGGCTATCCGTGTCCGTACACAGTCCGCCAGGTGAATTCAAATTGAACATAGTCGACTTTTGATAATTGGAATTTTTTGAACTATTCAGAAGTTAACTTCGGTAAATTGAAAAAGTACGGTATTTTGATATCTCTATATTTGATATAAGTCGAAAATCTTTTTTTTGTAACAAGAGGGAGAGGGTACATTCCATGATCTGAAATATACCACTTACGTTCCTTATAATTCGAAATCTTCCTAGTAAAAATTTTTATATGAGACTATTTATATATAAAATTTATGTAAAAACATACATATTTTCGAAAATATATTAACAACTCTGAATAGTTTGATTTTTTTTTTTTCTTTCCTCTTTATAATTCAAACTTCTTGATTACCCTTACTTCTTACCAAGTCTCGTTAACTCGAAGTTTTCTTATAGTCACTTGGATTTCGAATTATCGAGAGTCGTCTGTAGATAGGCATTCCCAGACCAAAAGTAACCCCTGGTTTACGATATCTAACATTTATTTAAAATTATTCAGCAAGTTTTCGAAATATTGGCTAGACCTTTGTTACCCTTTTATTTATGAGGATCTTTTTGAATTTTGTTAATTAAAACTGAGTTAATTGAAAATGTCGAGCTCCTTTTATGTAACTCGATTCGGAAGCCCTTTCAGAAGGATCAATCGACTTAGTAAATAATTTTATTTAACGCTCGATTTCATAATTAATTACCATTTGAATCATTTAGATTTAATTTAAAATTATTATAAAAGATCCTGAAGATTATAACGTCACTATTCCTAAAGTCTATTCATCTTGCTAAAATACTAACATATTTTAAATAATTTCGTATAACACAAAAATATTGTTATAATATAATGAAAAGATAAGCATGTTAACTGTATTTTAATAATATCTAATTGTAAGTCAATTATATATTATATTATTCTACTATTAAGTATTTTAAAAATCTAGAGCTAAATTACGCATAATATTATCTGTTGTTTTTAGAATTGCGCTGAAGAAATTTGATAAATTTAGTTGAAAGGTTATTGAAAAATACCAGTATGAGAAAGTCAAAGAGAGAGGAAGGCGAAGTGAAAGATACGACAAAAGAGGATAACTCAGAACAAATACAAACAAGGAGTGAGTCATGGTTCGAGGGCGTCTTAATATTTAAAGAAAACATTATCTCAGAGAAGAGTAAATTATTTGTTTACATTAGACATTTTCCCGCGCGCGGGAGGTAGGGAAGCGTATCCTGGCAACGGTCCAGGTGATATATGTTAACGCAGCCCCAAATCCCACCCCCAGCAGCTACCTCTGTGTAGCCCTCATTAAATCAAATAGGATTTTTCCACCCTCTTTTATCGTACTTCTTGGCAACCGATTCTGCTGTTAATTTCTGTTTACCTGCTATGATTCAATAATGCTTCGCTATTAGGATTTTCTTCTAGTATTTTGTGTATTATAAATTATTTAGATTAGATTTGGAATTTAAAAACCCTCGCTCATAAATCTAATTTTTTAAGTGAAAATTTCTTTAGGCGGGTTTTGAACTTCTTTGTGGAGAGTGAATTAGATCGTTCCGTCAGATTTCGGAGGTGTAGTAAAGTCAGCAAAGTCGACTAATTGAAATATTTTTACATATGGATTAAAATATTTCAGATTCTAAAAATTGGACCTGTATACTATAAACGTGGGATATGTTCAACATTTCATCTTCTTTGTAATGAGCTATAACTCAAAATTGTATCTTAACCCAACACCGTGTTAGAGAGTAGGAGAGAAAAAAATATAGTGTCCAGAACCAACTGATAACGAGTTTTATTGAAGATATGGATAAAAATATCTCAGAAACTAAAAATAGTATCTGCATACTGTAAGCGAAGGAAATCTTCAGCATTTTATCCTCTTTATAATGAGCTATTATTTATAATTTATATTTCATATTTTTTTTTTCATTAACTGTTTATCCGCACCTGTCATGGTAATGACAATCAGCAGATGTGTTGCCATGATGAGGTTGGCATTACAGGCATGAGGAAGGATAGCACCCAGCAGCACCTCTTCCTAGTCATTAGTTTGATTTAGGTTAAGAGATCTCTCATCCATCTCCTTTTTAGTCTCCTCCTTACGGGCATGTCAGACGTAGCCATGTCGTTTATAAGTCTGTTAGTGTGTCCGTGTAGTTTGAGATGAAAACGAGAGTAGAGAGTACTTATATGGTGGTCTATAGTTGGTTGTCGTAAGTCGTTATGTAAAGTTTTGTTGTTGACGTACCAGGGAGCTATTGTTATAAGTCGTAAAATTTTTTATTGAAATGACTTTAGTTTTCGTAAGTGTGTCTTTTTGCCGAACCGTAAATCTGAGGGGCGTATGTCCATAAGGGTTCGAGTAGGTAGTATGTATTTAGTTTTTGTCGAACTTTCAATTTTGATTTAGAAAAAAGTGAGTACAGTATTTTCAGTCGCTTGTCATATTATTAATCTCGTCTTGTTGATGTTTTCACTTCTATCGTGTGGTTTGAAGTACAATCCTTAGTTTTTAAAAATATTTATCTCGGATTCAGAATCTTATTAAATTTACGAAAGTTTCAAAATTTAGGTTGGAATTTTATTTTTACCATCATTGCCGGATGTTTTAAATTGTATCTAAAGATTTTTTCTAAAGTAACTTAGCCTTTTTGCTTTTTAAACCTAATAAATAGTTTTACTGGCTAAAAGTCTTGTTCCGAAAATTAGAAACTTACTGTGATTAC